CTTAGTGCCATTTGATAAACATCGAATTTTCATTATTAAATACTGCACATCATGATAAAAATCTAATTAATGATGTTCATTAATGTTAAATATTGTATGTTCATTCAAAATAATGAAAATTGCAATGTATATGATCTGTAAATTACAAATATGTGATGAACATTATTTCTGTGACTTCCTGATGTACACAGATGAATTAATATTCATTGGATTCATCTTGCTGAGATGCGTCGAATGGTGCTAAGATCATGTCTCTAGCATAGCACCGATAGATAGCTTTATATTTACAAATCATTTAGCATGGATTAATGTGTGATCTATCAATTCTAGAGACATGCATCAGGAAGTCACGGGAAAAATATTCATCAAATGTACATCGGTCACTTGATGTACATCATAAAGAAACGCTGAACATCGGACCCTGCAATGTACCTGTCTCTTATACACATCTAGATGTGTATAAGAGACAGGGTACAAAACTCAGTTTATTATTTTCCGTTCTTCGGAAGACTACATGATCCTATAAAAAATAAAAGAAAAGAACGGTTATTAGTAACTGTTCTAAAATAATAAAAAAAATAAAACTAAGATTCTTATGAATCTTGGTTCTTCTTTGCANGTTTAGCCTGAACCGTTCAGAACTTTAGGTACAATTGAGATATTAAAAAAAAACAATTCACTTCTGTTATAGTGTAAGATAAAAATATAAATAAATTATGTATCAAAAACTATAAAGTAATTATATTAATAAAATATTATAAAAAGTATATTAATAAACATTAAAAACTTTCCTTGTAAAGCAATAAATAAAAAATTATGAAAAAAAGTTTATATTTGACAAGTTTTAGACTTCTAAAAAAATTTTTTTTTAATTTATCACACAAAAAAATATATAAATCTGATGATAATTTATCTGCTATTACCCAGATGATTATCTGTTAATATTCAGATAGTTATCTGTTGAAGTTCAGATAATAAAAAATGGGAAAATTCAGAATAAACATCTGTAAAAATTTTTGGAAAGTTTCGCAGATAATATATGCAAAATATCACAGATCATTTGCGAAAAATTCCCAACATGGAAAGAAATAACTGTGATAATTTATCTGTGCATTGACAGACTTTTGTCCGATTTGGCTTGCCATAGATATCCGGATATTTATCCGGATAAATCACTATCCGGATTTGACGGATTTAAATCTGCGAATAGTTTTGGATATCCGTAAAATACGGATAACGGATCCAAACTCTATTATTATGATTAAATTACTAAACCTAATCAATTACTTTAATTAAATTATTGATTTAATTTATAATAGCATTAATTTTATTTTTGCTTTATTATATAATAATTATTTAGGTCCAATAATACTGCTTCGGATCTGTCATAAGTTCCCAATTTTTAAAATACAACGATCCCCGAAAATAAAAACAAAAACCTTTTGCATTGTTACATGGTAATACTTGGTAATAATGGGGATCCGTGTTCATAAATAATTAGATCAGATTATAGATTTTGTATTACATTATTGTTAAACCCACAAAAAAAGTAAAGAATAAAAGAAAAACTTTAAGCTCATAATTAAATATATATGTAACATGTGAAATGGTGGTATGGTAAACGTACAGTATGGTACGGATTGAATAATTGAATAATCCATTTGAATCCATTGGACCAATCCAAATTGAATTTTTAATTTTGTGAATATGGGTCGTCAACAGAACCCCAAAATATATATAAAAAGGTCAGAGGGCTGTACGCATTTTGTCAGGGCCGGAATTATTATAATTTCGGTTAGTATCCAAAAAAAAATAATAGTCTTCAACTCTTCCACCGGGCACTATCTATAAAAGGAAAGATTTTCATGATTTTTTTTTTTGTGGACCTTTTTATGTATATTTTGAGGTCCTGCGCCAAACTCAACGAATTTGTGAATGCACCCAATTATTATACAACCCTTTTTTTCGTTCTGGTCAAACATTAAATGATCGGCATAAGAATTTTTAACTCTTGTTTGAACACATCATGTTAAAATACAGACAAAATAAATGGCACCTTTTTGGATTTAATATTAATAAGTGTAGCTATACAACATTTCTCATAATTTGTTCTTAATTTAACTTAATATAAATAAAATATAAAAAAAATTTATAAAGTAATAAAATTCGGCTTTATTTAGTAACAAAATTTTACGGAACTTATAGGAGGTCCATAAGATTATTATGTTCATGAGTAATGGACCTGAATCTGAGTCATTGGGGTCTAAATTTTTGGTTGAATGGGCTATTATAACTTTTAGCCCCGCTAAGGTTAGGGACATTGCTTGTTAAAAAAATATATATAATTTATAAATCAAATATGATTTGTAAATAAATTAAATACTCTTTTAACGTAGTACAAGATTAGCAGTCTTTATGGGAAAATGCTAGCTTGATGAGCTTCTGGTAGGTATTATATGTAAGTATATATTTAAGAACCCACGCTTTTTTTTCCCAATTTTCAGAATGATCTTTATTTTTTGGCCAAAGAACATGGAAAAGGAGCTTCCATGCCTCTCATGGGCCCCGAAGTGAAGAATACCTTCGGCCGATATTCCGGTCTTTCTCTCATTATACTATAGGAGCTGTCTCTTATACACATCTAGATGTGTATAAGAGACAGAAAAAAAGATCGATCGGCAAACTGATCACATGATACCGATCAATACTAACTGAAATTTACTAGTTAGTAATTATATTTTTATTATAGCAAAGATATGTACATTGAATATTTATTATTAAATGCTGCACATCATGATAAAAATTTCATTGATGATGTTCATTAATGTTAAATATTACTTGTACATTAAAAAGAATGAATATTGCAATGTATATGATTTGCATAAATGTATATGTAATGTACATTTTTTTCGTAACTTCCTGATGTGATCTTACCACCATTCAATGCATCTCATTGAGACGAATCCAATGATATATGGCTCAACTTTGTATGATCACTAGATGGACGGCTATTCGATTTTTTACATTTTTATAAAAAATCAGATTAAACTGAACTGAACCGAACTGAACTGAACTGAATTTTGAGCCAGTTTCAGATCGGTTCCCTGGTTTAGCCTGAACCGTTCAGAACTTTAGGTACAATTGAGATATTAAAAAAAAACAATTCACTTCTGTTATAGTGTAAGATAAAAATATAAATAAATTATGTATCAAAAACTATAAAGTAATTATATTAATAAAATATTATAAAAAGTATATTAATAAACATTAAAAACTTTCCTTGTAAAGCAATAAATAAAAAATTATGAAAAAAAGTTTATATTTGACAAGTTTTAGACTTCTAAAAAAATTTTTTTTTAATTTATCACACAAAAAAATATATAAATCTGATGATAATTTATCTGCTATTACCCAGATGATTATCTGTTAATATTCAGATAGTTATCTGTTGAAGTTCAGATAATAAAAAATGGGAAAATTCAGAATAAACATCTGTAAAAATTTTTGGAAAGTTTCGCAGATAATATATGCAAAATATCACAGATCATTTGCGAAAAATTCCCAACATGGAAAGAAATAACTGTGATAATTTATCTGTGCATTGACAGACTTTTGTCCGATTTGGCTTGCCATAGATATCCGGATATTTATCCGGATAAATCACTATCCGGATTTGACGGATTTAAATCTGCGAATAGTTTTGGATATCCGTAAAATACGGATAACGGATCCAAACTCTATTATTATGATTAAATTACTAAACCTAATCAATTACTTTAATTAAATTATTGATTTAATTTATAATAGCATTAATTTTATTTTTGCTTTATTATATAATAATTATTTAGGTCCAATAATACTGCTTCGGATCTGTCATAAGTTCCCAATTTTTAAAATACAACGATCCCCGAAAATAAAAACAAAAACCTTTTGCATTGTTACATGGTAATACTTGGTAATAATGGGGATCCGTGTTCATAAATAATTAGATCAGATTATAGATTTTGTATTACATTATTGTTAAACCCACAAAAAAAGTAAAGAATAAAAGAAAAACTTTAAGCTCATAATTAAATATATATGTAACATGTGAAATGGTGGTATGGTAAACGTACAGTATGGTACGGATTGAATAATTGAATAATCCATTTGAATCCATTGGACCAATCCAAATTGAATTTTTAATTTTGTGAATATGGGTCGTCAACAGAACCCCAAAATATATATAAAAAGGTCAGAGGGCTGTACGCATTTTGTCAGGGCCGGAATTATTATAATTTCGGTTAGTATCCAAAAAAAAATAATAGTCTTCAACTCTTCCACCGGGCACTATCTATAAAAGGAAAGATTTTCATGATTTTTTTTTTTGTGGACCTTTTTATGTATATTTTGAGGTCCTGCGCCAAACTCAACGAATTTGTGAATGCACCCAATTATTATACAACCCTTTTTTTCGTTCTGGTCAAACATTAAATGATCGGCATAAGAATTTTTAACTCTTGTTTGAACACATCATGTTAAAATACAGACAAAATAAATGGCACCTTTTTGGATTTAATATTAATAAGTGTAGCTATACAACATTTCTCATAATTTGTTCTTAATTTAACTTAATATAAATAAAATATAAAAAAAATTTATAAAGTAATAAAATTCGGCTTTATTTAGTAACAAAATTTTACGGAACTTATAGGAGGTCCATAAGATTATTATGTTCATGAGTAATGGACCTGAATCTGAGTCATTGGGGTCTAAATTTTTGGTTGAATGGGCTATTATAACTTTTAGCCCCGCTAAGGTTAGGGACATTGCTTGTTAAAAAAATATATATAATTTATAAATCAAATATGATTTGTAAATAAATTAAATACTCTTTTAACGTAGTACAAGATTAGCAGTCTTTATGGGAAAATGCTAGCTTGATGAGCTTCTGGTAGGTATTATATGTAAGTATATATTTAAGAACCCACGCTTTTTTTTCCCAATTTTCAGAATGATCTTTATTTTTTGGCCAAAGAACATGGAAAAGGAGCTTCCATGCCTCTCATGGGCCCCGAAGTGAAGAATACCTTCGGCCGATATTCCGGTCTTTCTCTCATTATACTATAGGAGAATATAAGAGTTTTAAATTTTATTACCACAATAAGAAACTGATTGATGTGACTTAGATATGAGAAAGATTAAATACCTTGAGGTTCTAAATTTTTCGACGAGTGTAGGGTATCCCTGCACATCTGCATATGACAATTCACAGATTTTGTCAGAATTAAAACAGGTCCATTTTCGACCTACGCGCGATTCTGCAAAAGAAATCACCGCGCTAATAGATAAAATTTAGAACTTTTGTGAATTTAACTCAATTTAATCTTAATTCTGGTAAAATATCGTACAAAGTTAACGGAGTATTTTACACAGTGCTAAATGAGTAATCTATTTACCTGATATCCACGAAGTTAATAAATGCATAACCAACGTTACACTTGTTTGTGAAATCGATGCGCAAGTACAAGAAATCGTATTTTCCTTTATGTGTGTCGTTAAGTTCTGCAATCAACATTTCTTGCGTGTATTTATTTGGAATATTTCGAACCATGAATGTAGTCCGAACGTCAAGCCCTATTATATATAATATGAGAATTATTATTTAATTTATGAGCAGCTCGTTTTTAAAACGTACCTTGCTTGACTTTTTCGAGATTCATACGATTTCTCAAGGGAATTGTTCTATTCCCAGACGAGTGCACAGTACTCGTTACTGGTGGCGCTGGATAACCTTTTATGGCTGGTTTTGGTGGTTTTTGACGGCCGGAGATTTCGTTAGTTATTATGTCCCACGATTGTGCGCTTGGATCATGGAATTCTATGGCCAAAATCGCGCCCTGTTATTAATAATAATGGTTAAAACGAATTTAACATCTTCAACAAAAAAAAAGAAGCTTCAAGTTGAATAATTTACTTGTATTTTCTGTCCATTTAAGGACCTTTTGGCTGAATTCGCATTTCTCGAGTCGTAGTACTCGAGGGTTATTACTCGTACATCCTCGTAAGTCTGTGACTTGAATTCTTTAATAGTTCCACATTTGCTGAATTGTGCTTTTATTGCAGATTCACTTGCGTATGCACCGTAGTATGAAATGATCAGGCTACCTTCATTTTGAAGCTCTTGCAAGTTTATCGATGGGTATAAGTGCACCAACTATTAATAATTTTGATAATATTAGCGTGCGTTAAAGATATAGCAAACGACAATACTAATAATCGTAACTTGTACTGTACATACATTATTGATATTTGTTGGTTTTTGACCAAACCTGACGTTGAGTCTTCCTCTATTATGGGGTGCTTCTTTATGTTTGAGCAAGTTTTGCGCCTTTATTGCATCTCTAATATCGTAATAGAAGACGTATGCAATTCCATTGAAACCACAATGTATTTCCCGAACATCTCCGTATGCCTAGAAATATTTGGAGATAAAATTTTATTAACACCGATAGAATACATACTATTAAAGCATAAATCATATCTTACCTCAAATAAAAGTCTCAAATCCGGATAATATTCAGATTCGAATGGGAAATTTGAGACACAAAGCCATCGCGAAGGTTCAGAAACCCAATGCAAACCAGACCAGATAGGTGGTTTCGTCATATTTACTGTCGAAGCCGCAGCCACTTCGAATGTTCCAGAAGAAACCATGAACAATCCATTACTACGCTTTATGTTCTCTATTGTTTCTCTGACCGTTATTAGCTGTGCAAATGACATGTCGATTTTAAGTGATGGATCATTATTTATTTCTTCTTTTTCGCGAATATTTATTTCTTTTATTTCCTCTCTGACTTTTTTTATGGTTTCTTCATTGCCCTTATAAATTATTTTCTTATTTGTTATATTATGAGAATCGAATTTATTAACAGGACATTCGATTAATGAATCCTCGAGGCAATAAATAGACGCATCCGCAACGAAAGGTACCGTACTATTTGCATTTGACGCAACCTCACTGTAATTCGCAGTTCCCGCGGGTTTAATCATCACTTGACTGCCAGTATAATGCAATTCTGACTTTTTAGGGATTGATCCGGCGCTTTCGACTTCGTCAATAGATCTCTTTCGCATTAAAACAGTCATTGTCGCGTCTTGTTCTTTATTTTCGCTAGTAATGTCCTCAACATTGACGTCTTTAGGGTTGATGCATGTTGGATAATTTGGTATCTGAATACCACTGTTATAATATATATTATTGTTGACATCAACCCTGTGTGTACATACTTCATTTTCAAGATTGTTAACCTTCTTGATGGTTTTAAAACTTTTGCTGTTACTTTTGAAATCTTTAGATATTAAAATCCGAGTTTCTCTCCTTTTATCTTTAATATCCACTAACTTAGCTTCTGGTGTATGACCCTTAACAGAAGATCCAAATTTTGACGAGGATTTAGAAAAATTTGTCAATTTTTTAATATTTTTGCTTTTAGGTATCCAATTTTTAGCGTAAGGATTGAATTCTTTCTTCATGATTCCTTTAAACTTAGCAGATTCTGACGGAAGATAATGACTGTAATTAAGATCAGATTGCATATTATCTTTAGGAACACACCCTGGTTTGTGTTGACTCATTAGGGATGAGTTGGCTTTTTCAACTTCTGACCAGGAAAGTTGGACAGGATTGCGATTATCTTGCATATGGTTATGTGTATTAACCGCGAGTATGAAGTCTTTAGGATTGAATTCTTCTTTTACGTCAGATTTGAGTTCGTTAGTTACGGGTGTTTTAACCTTAAATTTTTCGGACGAAGGATAATATTCACAAGGAATACCATTTTGTTTAAGATAACGATTATCATTAACATCAAATTTGCATTCCTTCTTCCTGGATATATTGGGTTTATAACTATCCGGCAAGACATAACAGCCAATAGCATTCTTTACCATCATAAACGATTCTTTAAAAGTTCCAACATTATTACGAATTGAGATGTTACCGACGGCGTCTTTAACCTCATGAGGTCGGTTTGAAAGGCAAATATCATAACAAACTGTACAGTCACGAACGTCGCGAGAACGAGTGTCATGAAGAGTTGTATTATTAATCAATGGACGACAAGAGTTGGTAAAAATGCCGTTAGCGCAAGCAGTAATAGAGCGAACGGGAAGAGGTATAGTTTTTGAGCTGAGAACTTTGCAACCTTCCATTATCTGAGTTGACTAGAATATATTTATTCTTTTTTTTTAAAAAAAAATAGGTGTAAAAAAAAAATAGAAGGTTAGGAAGCAGCATAAAAAAATTCATAAAATATATAAGCGACGTATATAATACATACAAACTTAGAACTTGCTTTATAATTTTTCTTTTTTTTTAAAAAAAAAAAAATAAATGAAATGAAAAAAAAAGAGAAAGATGAGAATAAAATAAAATAAAACGAGATTTCAGATCTTTTATACTTTTAAAACAGGTAAAAAGGTAGGTTACTTAAACTTTCCGAAGAAGCTTTTCTTTACCATTTTAACTCTTAAATAATGTGATTGTAGAAAATGCATATACCTGTAACACGACTGATTTAACTCTCAACAACTTTTTTTATACTTTATACAACTATAATAGGTGACATACTCCGACATTACACAAACCAATATAACTAAACTAATATACAGTATTTAAATATTAAATATTATAAAAGTCGCGTCGAAATAGCTTACTTAATAGTAACACAACGAACCGGCAAGTTACATAAAAAACGCCAATTTCGTAATTGACCTTTTCATTGATACCAAAAAGAGAAAATTGTCTTATTAATCCACAGGAACGGAAAATTCGGAAATTAAAACATTAAACAATGAATCTTTCGTGTTACGTATATTTTTATTATATAGGTTTACAATTTATCATATAACATTTAGTATTTAAAATTTTAATAGGATTATTTACATTAGTTATAATTGTTTTAACTCCTACAGTAACTTTAGTATGAAGGCGCAGAAAGGAGTGGCTTATTTACATATTGCTATTAAGTTAATCTGATCTATAGGTCGTTATTAGTTATATTGTTGATGATTGAGAAAATATTACTTGATTCCAGCAGTTATTATTGATTATCTTTTAACAGAAAAACGAACAAAAAGCAAATGCTGGCAATCTTCAAAATATCGGCAAGTAAAGGCAATCAGCAATTGCTCTGCTAATTTGGCTTTTAAGTGTAGGCTTGTATATTCTATAAAAAATGAATTTTAACAATTACGGTTCTTATAATTGAGAGTAAAATTGTTAAGCAGATAAACTTTTGGCTCTGGCCATGTTAACTCTTCAATTATCATGGATTTTAAAACATTTCAGACTTCTTAACTAATTTCTTATGTTTTTCTTGTTTTCCAAATCTAACACCACAGAGCGATTAGGAAATATCTTATCCAAGTTCTTAAACAAACTTCACCATTTTCTTATACATAATAAATCCGGTAATGCATGATAATGGTCATAACTTGTCATATATACTCGCCATAATTATTCAGTTTATCAGTTTATATTTCATTTTCACTTGTCTCCAAAAAATATAAAACGCGATTCTTTATCTCCTGTATCTCCTATTGAGCGATAAAGTGTAACTTCTTCAAGTTAAGTACATATAATTATTCTTTTTATCTTGTAAATTATTTTATGTCAAACTCTCTTTACTTAAATAGAGCCGAAACAATTGGAATTAACCGAACTATTTATTATATTTTTGAAATATTACATGAAAGAGAAGAGATCGATTGTGAGGAGGCTTTTGTTTTTGATTTTCAATCTAATAAGATTTTACTAATTATGACTCGCGAAATTACCCAAGAATTTATCTAGTTAACGGTAAATTTGGTATTAATTTACACAGAAAGAAAGTTATTTCTTTAAAAGCTTGACTTTTTTTTTTGTACTAAAAATGATGTTGAAAATATAATTCAAAATATTTTGAAGATGTTACGAAAATAAAATTTTGTGCAAACTTATAGTGCGAACCCTTGATTTACCTGTAGGATAGAACAAATAATCAAATGAGTTTTTTTTCGAAAGAAAAAAAAAAAAAGATTATTTATAAGCAATCGATCGTGTACCGAAAACCCGAAATTGAGAATTATTTTATCATTTTCAGAAATTTTTTTTTTTTGAAATCTTGAAATCCACATTTTTATAAATTTTTTCTCGGGTTTTCTTAATTTACTTAACACTTTAATCATTGGAACTAAGGTGATCGTAAACCTTTATTCTGAGAATTTGTTTTTAAGGTATAGGTATGTGGATCCCCTTTACGTAGTTTGCTTAAACAAATAAGAAATGTTACGTACTAGTTAAATCCATGGTAGAAACCTATAGTTAAAAAATGAAATCCACCAACCTGCGAAGATTTGGTTCCGCATAATTTATTCTGGATCTTTTTCTTCCCAGAGATTCTCCTTCATTTATCATCCCTGTCACAAATTCTGGTTTAACCTATAGATCGTTCATAAATGTTAATGCACAAAACGTGTAATGGAGCTATACCTCTTGTTTGCCTTTTATTATGTTTTTCCGATATTTCCATATTTTGTTCTACTAGTTTTAAGTTATTAATCTCATAAGATTCTTCTTGAAAAGGTCTCTCGTTTCTGTTTATTGAACTTGTATTGGACATTATCGTTTGGGACGGGGTCAAAACACCTGGTTTACCCTTTTCTGCCACACTTTGTAGCTGATGCTTTGTAATACCGATAGATGAAGAATTAGTAAATCTTTTTTCATAACTTGCTACCGCGTGAGGATTACATGAGACTACCTGAGATGGAGATGTTCTATTTACATGCAGAAATGTAGTAGATTCAACACTTTCTTTCGATTCATGGGTATAATCTTGAATTTTACTCATTTGGCAAAGTTGATCCGTTTCGACATCCACGGATAAATATTTTCCTTCGGTGTGTTGCTCAGCCTCTTGTTGCTTGAAATTGGTTTCCTTTTTTGCAAATATTACTTCCAAGTTAGAATCCTTTTCTCGTAATGGTAGTAAATCATTACCATTCTTAGCACGCCTCAATTTCTTTTTTGATGGTGATTCATCCCTCTGCTGCTCCTCTTGAGGAATCTTTGCCTGAACTCTTTCAGCTTTTTCTGACAGATATTCATCTCCGTCTTGCTCGCTTCAAAAGATAAAGGAGAAAGGACATTAAGCAAAGAAGTTAAAGATGTATACGTTGAGCATTAACTCACAGTTTATGCGAATTTGATGCGGAAATTAAAGATTCTGGATCTTCTTGCTCATTGATTGGGATCAAGTCTTTTGGTTCATTCCGGTAAGCGGTCAACTATTAAAATTCAGATTGAATGAATGAACGCATAAAAATTCTTAAAAAGGATTATATTACCGAATTAATAGACTTCTTTTTATGCATATTCATCTCTGTAGTGTCTGTATCAGGATATTGAATTCCGTTTGTAGCATAGAGACCACCATTTGGTAGATCAATTGAAGAACTTAATATTGACGAACCTATTTTTTTTTTAACATATAGAAATTAGTTAACCTTTAACCTTAACGGAATTAGCAAGAGTCTTATTTACCATCGGAAATGAAACTGGAGCCTCGAGCTGATTCAGGGTCCACGATGGTGTTTAAAGAGTCTGCAGCACTTTGTAATTGTTGAACCAAAGCGATAATTTTGTCATTTGCAGACTAAAATGGCAACCAATTTAAATACCTTCATTATATATATATATATATATATATATATAATATATCATTCATTCATTCAAAAAAAGTAAAATAGAAGGATTACCTTAACACTTTCTTTGAAGTTGTCATTCGTTTTCGCTCTTTGGCACCTAAGCTTTTCAACCTTTGCTCTTAATTGCGCAACAGTAACTCTTAGTCCAATATTTTCAGACTGAAGTTGTTTATTTTTTATTTCGGATTCACGAAGTCTTAACGCGTATGATGTGTTAGATCTATTATAATAGAATATATAACTTTCTATTCATAAATAAAAATTTATTATAATAAATATAATATATACTTGATAATATCATTGTTTTGAGCCGAATGCACATTAATGACTAAATCAACGAGAAGTTTGTTATTTAGGTTTCTTTTTTTGTAAGAAAGTAGAAGAACGGTATCTTACTGAATTGAATATAATTAAGAACTATTTCTTTCAAAGATTCATCTATATTTTCAAGTTTTTGTTGAAGTGTAAAGTACGGGTAAGAATTCATAATTGGTTTTAATGTTTTGAACGAATAAGAAGAATGTGACATTGCAGTTAAGTAAATCACTTTCAATAGTTGCATATAAGAACGTTAAAATATAACGGTAGAAATTGAAAGTATAAACTATTGATTAAATCATATATAAGAAAATGCATTTTATCATAAACTATAATAAAATGTTATTATATATAAACTTTAATTATACAATCTTTTATATCACGTACATTTAGCACCAAAAAACCTGAGTATATAGTAAAATAGTATGGTACGATATGATATAATAAGTAAGGTATTGTTAATTATGTACAGTTACAATGGGTACGATGCCAATCGTACCGACTACCGAAATACCATAATATCACATGAATAAATTTTGGTATTAATTACATTATAACATTATAGTAAAATTTCGAATTATATAATGAATCTTATTTTATAATCCGGACAGAATTTACTGAAAACCACTTAGCTTGCTGAATTTTTAATTTATTTTGAAACAATTAAATAAATCTTTAACGTAAATTTTTTTTAAGATGTAAAAGTGTAATTTTAAAGATGTTTGATAATAAATTTTAGTATTTTACAGTTGTATTGTAGATAAAATGAAAACTAATTTATAAAAAATTTCCTTCGACTTTTTAATGGTAAATTTTTAAAAAAGTAAAAATATTATAGATATTATATTTTATTAGGTGACCTCGTACTGTACCTGTAAGCTTAGTTGTATTTGTATAGTATGTCATCCAGAGAAACAGCCAAACAGGTGAGAAAGAAAGTTTCATACCTAAAAGACAATAAAGCACAATACCATAACAAATACACATACCATAACAAAATATTATTTATTTGCGAGCGCGTCAAAATTATATTATTATTCGTAGAAAAATCAGGGAAATCATTTGCGTATATTATTAATCGTCTCTATAATTATGAAAGGAAATTATTACATATTATGTACCAACATGTGTGTCCGTGGAAAAGGAAAATTTTAAACTGGGCGAAAAATACAATGTCAATTACTAAAATAAAATAAAATACGTTTTTCTAAGTCACCGATAAATTAAGTCATAAAAATATATTAACATATAAATTAACTCCTTTTTACCCTTCTTTAAACGAAAATTTCACAATAATAATACAAATCGAGCTACACTGTTGTATTATTATGTGAATACATCAAATTTCTACTTATTAAAAAAGAAACAAATAGGTTAAACCCAGTAGTACTTCTAAAATCATACCGTATACATTTAACAATGGCAACACAATTTTCAAAAGCTGATGCAGACTTAACTAGCCACATTATTGAACTGATTGGAATTTATTATATCTTTCATTTTTATGTGAAGATAAATTGTATTCTATATGTTTTTGTGATATTAATGAAAAGTTGATAGTCAATCATCAAAAGTTATTTGCAAAGTTGAATAAATTAATCAAGATTCATTCTAAAAAAATTTTATAAGTGAGTGTATAAAGGATAATTGCGCTAAAAGCAGAAATTATCAATGCAGTGTACCGCAGGAGGGAAAAATAATCCCACCCAAACTTCAATACGCGATTAACCTCTTTGGCGGTTGCACGAGAATGTCAAAGTGTTCTAAATGGTCTCTTTCACCGAAATACTTAATCAAATGGACAATTCTGAAACCTTCAATGATTACTTCCCTAACACCTCTTTAAGTCTTTCTTAGTCCTGTACGAGAAGAATGCACAATATATTTTCATTATCGCACATCGTTTCAAAATGAGAGGCAGTTGGTGGATTTACTGACTGAAAACGCCCAAAACCACTTTCAACTATTGTCATTTGATTGATATCAGTAAATAGAAGTGGTGCTCCAGAATAATAATAGGCAAGAGTTACGCGTGACTTTTTTTCCTTCTGCGTTTATTGGGAAAATTGTTGTATAATACGTTATTACTGGATGTTTCGTCCCTTGTGTGAAAAGTCGTACCGGTATTTTTCCTGGTTTGTTATGAGCGTTTTATCCTAAGGCATCTCCTTCGAATTTTAGGTAGTGCATTCCTTGGCAAAATTCGCAAGTATCACAGCAGTTCCGCCAGGCATACCACAATCTCGAAAATCTTTCTTGGTCAACTTAAGGACGACACGACCATAAATTTTCTCCTTGCGAATAATTTCTGCGTCGTCATAGTCAAGCCCTAATATAATACGATCATATGCAATGATTGAAGTAGTACCTACCATGCGGATAATAATACAAAAAAGATAGATAGTGAGTTTTTGCTTTTAACACTTCATAAACCATAGTTATAAAATCCACAAGAGCTTTTGTCGAAATGAGGAAGACAACATTAGCATGGTTGGTATCAGATGGAAGAGATACCCCATATAAAAAAAAGCTTCTGGAAAAGAGATGGTATCATGAGGTTGAGATTTCTAAATTATAAAACATCCCACTATTTTGAGATTGATATATTTGAACAGAACTATAGAATCAGCAAATACTCTCAAGCTCAATTAACCTTAAGGAGCAAAGCTCATATAAAATGTAAGTGAATAAATCTCTACTGTCATGATATCACTGACACCAAATATATAAGTCAGGTATGTTCTTGCACCTAAATTGACAGCCACACCCGCTCATGACTTGCTCATAATACAATACCTGGAGTGGGAACCGAATGAATCGGTTAATGCCCTTGCACCTAAATCATATGATATTAACCAATGTCCAAAACGAAATCAAGCTTCACGTACAGTAGCCATGCTTAAAAAAAGTTATAAAGTTAGAGTCAAAAAAAAAAAAAAAATGAAAAGTTAGCAGAATACAAAAAAAATACTAGAAATATTCACCCCTTCAACTTTTTTATCTATAAGTCTGTTTTGCTTAACTTAATAAATAATTATGATGATAAAAAAAAATAAAAATACAATAGTATGGAAAAACAAATACAAGAGTTTGAAAGAAATTACAAAAATTTGAAAGAAATTACAAAAGTTTGAAAGAAATTACAAAAAATTTTGAAAAAAAATACAAAAAAACATATTTTTATATATAATTTTATCAATGACTCATCTTGCAAATGATTTAAATGATTTGTGTAATCATTAATAAACTAATAAACTATGGCATAATATGATAACTTAGTCATACAAACATTATGCATAAATATACCGATATTCAATATACTATATATTTTTTAAATTATTCATAAAAATTACGTATTCCTTTCAAATATAAATATTTATCAAAGTCTTGCTATACTTCTACTCTGCTACGGCTTGTACAGTCCTGTTACACGTACACAAAAACGCCTCAAATCGTATATTTTTTTTTTATATGATTTTATCTGATTTATTGGATTTCCGTATATGGATTAATTTATTACCCAAAACAATGACTTATTAACGTAAGTGCTTACATATTTGTTTTATTTGCGTGAGAACAAAAAAAAAGATTGTTTTCCATGTAAAAATGATACATTATTTGAAGCAGGAGTTACAAATCATTGACTGTATTTTTTTTTTTGTAAAATTTATAAAATTTATGAATTTATTGATTTAAAATTAAAGAAAGTTAATTCAATTTCACTAAATTTAACAACTAACTGTAATATTTAATATGTAATAAATATACTAAATAATAATTTAAAAAAAAAAAATTTGGTTCAAAAGAAAGAATATTTAAAAACATCAGATAAAAGAACCTACATAAATATAAAAGTATTATATGGTGGTACAAATTGATCTGGATCAATTTGAGTATAGTTAAAAGAAATGGGATAATTATTATTCACGGTAGATGGATAAAGAGAAGTTGTAGGAGGAAAAAAGGAAGGATTTGTTTCCACCGAATAATTTGAAGGAGTAGGCGGTAATAATTGGAAAGTAATAATTTTATAAAAAGAAGCTTTTCTTCCATAATAAATATCGGCAACACGTTTAGCTATAGTTTTATAGCAGTTTTTTTCTTCAAGTGAAGCATTTTTCCAAAAAATACTTGTAGCTTTAGTAATTATACGCATATTATAAGAACCCTTTAATTTTGCTTCTTCATGGACATTTTTTTTACATATTAAAAATGGATTAGGAGGCCTTCTTTTTCGAAAATTATCTTCTGCTGGAGGAACGTATAATTCCGGATCATTAAATAATGGTGGAAATATATTTCTTCTATCCAGCCGAGAATGTAATGAAATTGCCAAGTATTCGGTTGAGAAAGAATTAACTAGTGACATTGGTATTATTTAAAAAGGGGGAATGGATTAAATAATTTTTTAAACCATGAAGAAATAAAATATAGCATTTATATATAAATTTTTTTCTATGATAAAACGGGTGGAAAAAAAATATGTAACAAATATCTGCTGAACAATAGTAATTTTTTTTATCATTAAATCAAGGGACACCCGACAAAGAAATGCGCATTGATCTAGTATATGTAATATTACACAGAATATTGCGCATAACAATTAATATAATTCATTTTAACAAGAAAAGAATCTTGTATCAAATCTAAAAATCTAATAAAATAAAAACTTCCAAATATCAATCAATGTTACGCAAATTGCTATTGTATGCATATGAATCCTATTTGTGGATTGGTGGATTGATGGATGCTAAAATTATTCTATAATATTAAATTATTTTATATGATTTTATTTCACCGAATATTTATATTTTTGTATTTAGTTCTTAGCATATTTCATATAATTAATAAATCTTCAGCATTTATTTATTAACTTTTATTTTAAAATAAATGTAAGAATCTTTTCAGTTTATCCGAGTCCCGTGATATAATATGCAGATCAAATCGTGATATTTCCTTTTTCGCGTTTTAACAAACTAAGGTAAAGAGATGCCATATGTTTGTTCCAAACATTTAAAAGAATTTTACAAAAAAAGTATAATAACAATATGATCATTTGAGGCGTATTTCAATAAAACTTTTTAAGGTAATAAAATTCTGTAAAAAGAATAGTCAAAAAAATTATGTTTATTATAAAAATATGTTGGTCTATTTTAAATATTTTTTTTAAAAACAAATTATTAAAAATTAATAATTAATTTAAGTTGGTACAAACATTATGTGTGAAACATAATAAAAATAAACAAACAATATGTTTTATATGTTTCAAACGAGTCATACGACTTAAAAAAATTTCTACCCCGAATTTTGTTACAAAAATTTATGAGAACACTTGAAATCTTTAATTGGTTAATCAGTTTTATTTTTGTTTCTAACAGGTTTTTACTAAATAAAAGTTGTTCAAACTTTTATGAATATTAACATTTTAGTATTAGTAGTATTAGTTATCTTGCCATCGTCAAATACATTTGGCTCAAATGATCCATCTTATCAAATTTGACCAATGTGTCCAATTTAAGTAGCAAGACAATTTAGGTATTTTATTCAGAATTCTTATTTTTATAAAATTGTAATCATACATTTTTGAAATTTTCTTTTTTTATTTTATCTGGGGCTAAATAAAAAATGATAAATGATTTACGTAATCATATCAACTATACAACTTCGGAATTATAATTTTTTTTTTTCAGATAAAAATAAAATAATAAATATTTATTATTTAATATCATTGGAATTCGCACGGAAATTACTAAATTTAAAATCAAGTATAATGGACACGTACTTTTTCACTGAAACTTCTCAATAACCAATCGATACAATAATGACTAATTACCATGTTATCTCAAAAATTGAAAAGTCATATAAATAGATACATTCTTTATAATAAAATTTATATTTACAGTATTGTAAAGCATGACTTGGAGTGTTCGGTGTAACAATTTACTTTCATATTTCACATAATATTGAATAATTGGTAATTTAATATTCTTTTGTTAATATAAATTATTGTAATTTTAATAACCATACTTACAGAAAAACCTGTTAAGGTACTAACAATACAAAAATATTACTAATAGTAGTTTTAAATTTGAGTTTATATTTTTATATAAAATACTTTTCATAAAAAAATATATAAAATTCTGCTAAAATCTATCTGTTAATTCAAATTATATTATTTTTAATGAAAAAATTTTTAATGAAAATTTCTAAAATAATGCAATATTTTAATATTAAATAATACAAATTAAAAATGCAAATTGAATTACCATAAAGTTCCAAAAGTAAGTATCCTTTAAAAGTAAGCCTTTATCAGAATTATAGCAAAAAATAGAGGACTTTATAGTAATATATAAAAATAAATACTATTCATTTAGTTATATCAAATAGGATTTCACACACCGACTATGATCACGTGGTCGTGAATTTTTTATGGCGATGCTGGGACGAACTTGTATTTTGCCCACGCAACTTGCGCCTGTCAACCTGACGGCAAGTTGTGTCTGGAAGTGCAAGGGGAGATTATCATGCCTGTCAACTTGACGGTGACCTCCTCTTTGCAGTCGCCTACCACATTCATGCCTGCCAGCTTGACGGTGATGTGGTAGAGGTACGTACAGAACGACCTCATGCCTGTCAACCTGACGGTGAACGTTCTGCACGTAAAGGTAGGCCACCGTGTCCCGCGCCTGTCAACTTGACGGCGGAGCGGTGGATGTTTCTTTATTATAGTTGGTAATTTAATAAATACGTTTTATCCTTTGACGAGAACAAACTCAACAAAAATAACAAATACATAAGCTATCGATCAACGCTTATATAAGATGAAAGCTAATTCTTCGGAATGAGCATTTTCTCGTTGCGCTCTAGCAACGTCAGCACCACCAATTGAGACATGTTTGCTTCGAACTTGCTCAAGTGTCTTGTAATCATGTTCTTCGGTAGCGTGACGCTTTTCACGTTCTAATATCGAATCCCAAAATGAAACGATTTCCTTGGACTAACATGTGTATTATCATATCAACAAAGGATTTTTGATTCTCTTTCACATCTACAAAAATTCTCCACAATTACCGTCTATAAAAATGTTTTTAATTGAGTGAATGTATGATGCTATCAATGAGGGAAGGAGTACACGGATCCTAGGCCATTTAATGCAGCATCAAGTTATTTTTTTGCTCTCTCACGTTTACGAAAAATATCTATAGCTAATTTGTTTCTATGGATAAATTCAGGAGATTAGCAACTGAGGTAAAAAAAATATTTCCGATTCATACTTACCATTATTATTAATTTTCGCAACATTACATTCCGCCTGAAATTTATTACTTAATGCATTACAATAAAGGTAATTCGATTTTTTTATTGCCAGTACGATACTGCGCCAAAGTTTATTGAGGAGCGTGATTTATGTGAATAATTTCACTGCGCCTATTGTACGCGTGATGATTGTCAAAATTTTCTCGGCGAAGATCAAAACGCCGATATATAACAAGAAGAGTTATACGTCCGTTTTATTTTGGAACATCTAATAGAAGCGGAAATCGATTAGCATCGTGATGACATGTTTCAAGAAGCTAGTCGAACAATAAACTAACTTACTTTATTATGACTTTGTGGAAAATGCAAGTTCGTTTGATTGTTAATATCAATGATTTTAATAATGGTAAGCTTGATTGATTTGAATTTTTTTTTGCTTGATTTTTATTTTACTTGCATGAGGCAGATAAAAGGATTCACTAGCCGGGACATCACCTTTTTATACAATTTGCAGGATCGATTTTGGAATATGCTTTTGGGGAAAATTACGTTAATATGAACGCATCCCGTAAATCTGATCAACGGCTTCTCCTTAATTTAATAAAAAAAAATCAACGCTATTCATAATCCATATGTAAAGATCATCAAGGGGCTATACATAATTTTGAGAATGTGCGAGAAAGTTTGAGAATGCGCAATTACTTGTTCCTGTAATAATTACTATAATATTACTGCGTATTTATTTATCAAACTACAATATACTTGATTGAAAAAATAATAGTACACACTTTGCTTCACACAATCTCGTCACTCATTCCATGCGAAAAAATTATAAAATGTTTGGTAAATTTGCACCATTGCTTTACTGATCAAATTACTTGAGGACATTCACATCGCTTATAAACTTCCGCCACCTTCTTACACCTTTTGCAATACAGATGTGAGTGATGATCGCATTCCTCACAAACCTTACATCCATGCTTCCATCCCCTAAATATATGCCATTTTTCAAAGTAGTTCTGCCTTAGCAAAGCGCCTTCCAGCTCTTTATAAGCTAATACTATCCTGATTGTTTGTTAAGAGATTCGGCATGATATATAAATATTAATATAATAAAAAAAAATTCTCATATGACCAAAATTTCAGCCTTACGTTGCACAGTCCTATTATTTTGGCGTTCTGCATATTTTTTCAGGTGATCGATTTACATGACAGAGTTTTTATGCTATCATCGCGAACTTGAGTTTATTGCTTGAAGTGTTGCAGGTAAGACAATATTCTGTTCCATTCCTATACCATTCGCCATGTAATCCATAGTTCCCATGTTTTCCATCGCAAATAGGACACGGTGAACTCCATGGCTGAGGTGATGCAAAATTATAATTATCAATCCCTCTAAAACTATTTCCGAATTTACCATAGACCTGTTTACTTCACTGTTCAGCTTTGTATGTGCCAATTGTAGTGGAGTGCCCTAGCTAATGAATAGAATCTGATTCCTGTTTTTTTTTCACCTAAGTAGACTTGAGCCATAATACAGAATAATATACTGTCATGTGTGCATTACCATTTGTAACACCAATTACAACATTTATTACATACTGATCTCAGCTAGAAATATGTATAATTTTCGCACATTTATCAAGAAATTTATTAATTTTTTGCCTATGAATATTACAATGTGTAATATTTTTTTATATAAAGAATATGCATTTTAAGAATGTATTAAAAATATATATTACATATCAGTTAGGATTATGCTATTGCTTCTCTGACTTCAAAATTACTTAGTTAATGAACTTGTATTCTCAATGTAACTTACTAACTTTACAGAAAAAATATGATTCTAACTTATTATCAGTTTCCCAACATTGTAATTTTGACAGATTCTGGTGAGGGTAATCTGCAATAATCAGAACGAAATTGACTTGGTAACGTGTTTGAGGTAATTATTTCCAAAACATTGGAAACAGAATCCTTTAAATTACAAAGAGAGTGAGTCAACATCTGCATTGAGATAATAAACAAATATTTTTAAATCCACCAATAATTACTTACTTTGATGGTATAAAGTGCTTCCAATAATGACACTAAACTTATGAATTAGAATTTCTGAGTGGGTATAGCTACATCTGCAACTAAATACATCCTGTATAACCTATTATATTTTAAATCCATTTTATAAATGTGGA